TATCTAGATACAATCGAACTCAAGACTTTTGGTTAAAGACGAAAGAATCATTATCACTCTATCACAATCCTTGTTGATGAAAATTAAAATTTTGTTTGTTCATTATTCATTAATATAAATTGGAGTTGTTTTTTACTTTTTGTGAGTAATTTAAAGTGAAAATATTTTTTTTTTATTTTTAAAATCTTTGAAGATACTAATTTTTAAATTTTGTGATCAAATATATTTTACGAAGTTCAAACTATTAAAAAAGTTAATTTGCTTTATGCCCAAACGCCTTCACGACAAATGCATCTAAATTGAATAGGACTAACAAAAAAGTACTAGTTAGTTACAGCTCGACAGAAAAAATGGACCCAATTAATAAAATTGTGTGGAAGGGCTAAAGGTAGGACCATTTTTTTATTGTTTTTTTTTTTAACGTGGAGTAATAAAAGTCAGAACTAAACTTAAATAATTGTTGTTTGTGGCCTTAAGAGAATTTAATAGTTTTGGTCGAGCATCTAATGTTATTAAGAGTTATCTTTCCAGATCCTATTCTTCGAATTAGACACATGGACTAGAAATTTATAAAAAAAAAACTTGATTTTAAATAGGAAAAAGGTTCAAATTAATATGCAATTGAATTTTTAGAAAAGACTCATTTATGTGATTCGTTAAAAGTTTGATTCATCTATGTCATTATCGTTTAAAAAAAGGCTCATTCATGCTTTTTTTTTATCTCCAATTTTGCAAAACTATTTTTTACATCCCAAACAATTTTTTACACTTTTTTATTGAAATTTTGGATCAAATATACTCTTCAAGAATACATGAAGAACAGAAACAACTCACAATTTTTCAAAATCTTCAATTATTCACAAAATCATCTCAGATTTTGACTATATCATTAATTTCTTTTTTTATAAAAAAAAAAACAAAACTCTAAAATTATTTGTAGCGTTTAAAAAATTCATCTTTAGTAAGAAAATTCCAAAAAAAATAATGAAAATCACTCCTAAAATTTCAATAATTTGGTTTGATTTGTGTTTTTGTAGTTATTTTTTACATTAGATCTTTGTTCCCTAGTATTTTTTGAGTCTATGTTCTAAATTTCAAATGATTTGAAGTTGTGGAGAAAATTCTACCATTAAAAAATGTTGAAATTTTGAAACTTTGAAGAAATGTCATGCGGGTCTTGTTGAGTTAGGTTGAATTCGAGCTAAAAAAATATTGAGTTTGGTATCTAGCTTTGAAGGAAACTACTCTTGAAATTTGAAGTGATTTCGTGAAGAATTGAAAAAAGTTTAAAGACTTAAGGTGTTTTTGTTAATGTTCTTAAGGTGTTTTTGGTGTTCTTAAGGAAGAAGAAGCAAAAAGACTACATTTGATCCAAAAACCCCAATTGAAAAATGTCAAAAGTTGTTCGGGTATAAAAAATGATTTTGCATAATTGGAGTTAAAAAAATGACATGAATAAGCATTTTCTTTAACATCAATTGTTGGTGTAATATACCACAAATATAAAATATTACAGTTGAAAATAAAAGGGATAAGTGTCTGAAAAATACCCCAACTTTGGTCGGATTTGCTGTTGCGATACTAAACTTTCATGAGGACCTATTACTTCCCTAGACTATTTAATACCGTATTTTTATTTTTATATTAAAATGCATAAACACCAACAACAATAATATAAATGAACCAATTTTTAACGAATAACATAAATAAGTATTTTCTCAAAATTTAATGACATATTTGAGTCTTTTATTTTTTAAATAAACAAACAAAAAAGGAACAGAGGATATGAAACATTACATCAAAGTACGCGATGAAAAATAATGCGAGTTTTTTTTTTTGCTCATTGTTTATTAATCTTCCTTATTCGGTAAAAGACGAAAACAGATCAATAAAAGGAAGTAAACAATATTTTTACTTTTTAAATTTTGTAACCTGTTATAATTTAATAAGTTGAATTTTATTTTTTAGTATAATTTAAGGACTTATTTAGCAATTTTAATTTAACTAAAAGAGATTTTCTAAGCATACGATGAAAGACATGCCCAATGTATTAACTATGAGTTCGTCTAATCCCCTATATCTTGGCTTAAAGTTATATATACATGTTAAAGAAATCATATACCGGTAATAGATTTTGTATTTAATAATCTGATAAATATAGTAGAGTGATGAATTTAAATTCATAAAGTTCAAATTTTAGATTCGAATCTACGTGGCTCAAAGCAAAAAACATAAATGTATGCTTAAGTTGATAGGGCTTACGAGTTACGTCTAAACCTCATGATACTTCCGCACATTGCATTCTATATTTTCTAGGATTGAATATTTTTTAAAGAGAAAAGACATTAAAAACACCATTTATTTAAAACGAAGAAAGTAATCATTAATAACTACTCATGGCTCAGTACCGATAACTGGGAGATTAGGCAACGAAGGAGTAATGTGCATTAAGACTACGCAATTTCATCATTTTCCTTCGAATTTTTTCGTCCATTTTTAATTGTCATATTGCGTTTTTAAAAGTCAATTTGACTAATTTTTAAAGTTAAACTAGATTACATTAATTTGATATCTTAAATAAAAAAAATTAGATATTCAAAAACTATATGAAAATGACTATAAATTGTAATTTTACATATCAACATGATGAAAAAATACACCGTAAAATGTTAGTCAAACTTATAGTTTGTCTCTAAAAAAAATCATGACAATTAAAAATGGACAGAGGAAGTATACTCTACTCTATATTAAGTAAATTATTGGGATATGACATATTTAAAAAAAAAATATTTAAGGACATAATTAAATGGAGTACTATTTTTTTTACTATTCCGATTTTGATTAATTTCAAACTATTCTACTAGAAAATGTAAAATAGTTAAAAACCATCATTAACTAAAGAATAAATATGAAAAAAAATAATTAGGTAACTTACAAAAATCTCACTAGTTTAGGAGTTAATTACTTAGATTTATGCTAGTTTGCAATATTACGAATTTTACCAGATTTTGGACTTCATATACATGTATCTGACGCGTCCAAATACGTCTCGATACATGAATCTCAATCCTCAGATACATGAGGTCAAAATTACGTGTAATTTGTTCTAGATACACTGTATCCAAGTGAAGTCTCGTGTATATGACTCACTCACTCACCTCTCTCCTATTTCACTCACCACTCTCCTCCCCCTATATCTGGTATTCTATATACATATATTTAGTATGATTCACATTATCTGAATCTTACTCGCCTCGCTCTCCTCTCTCTTTTTGTCGCTCGCTTCTCTCCCTATGATTCACATGTATCTGGATCTTACTCGCCTCGCCTTATCTCACTCGCCTCTCTCTTTTTGTCGCTCGCTTATCTCCCTATTTTAGTGTATCTGAGGACCAAAATATGTGTATCTATGTGTATCTGACTTTAAATTGTTAATAAGTGAGACAATATGTAATTATTTTAAACAATATAGAGAATTTATAAATATAGTTAAAATATTTGTCTAATTAGGTAATTTTTCCAAATTAATTCTAACAATTCTCTTAAATTTTGAATAATTCAATTATCTTGATTTTTTTTTTCAATAGTTCACTTAAGAGCAACTTTCACATATAGCAAACACAAAATTCATATTTGTATGTTATAACAAAGTTTACATAATTGCGCTCCATAGCAAACATAAATATGTATATTTCGCTATACATAGACAAAAGAAAGCAGTTGTATAATCTGCTTTGATATACATATACAAAAAGATCAATTGTATAAAATGAGAGAGGCGAGTGAGCGAGCGAGATTTGGGAGAGTGGCGAGTGAGATCTAGGAGAGTGGCGAGTGAGATCTGGGAGAGTGGCGAGCGAGATCTGGGAGAG